TGCGTAGTATAAGGGTTTCTATAAGCTTAGACCCTAACGGTATTTATACCGTACTGCGTAATATGTACGCGTTTCTATACAATTTAAGGCATACAGATTTCTTCCCGTTTGCGTTGTACTCTTCATGCGGTTTTATACCTGAGGTCGACTTGGGTTTGAGTTATATGACTCATAGGTTCTACGGTTTTGGTTTTACAGGAATGGTTTGAGATTTCACTTTTACAAATAGGGTTTTTTTTTTGTTTATTTTGAGATCTTAATTTTTCACGCATAAGTGTGGGTTTTATGAACTTGAGTTAATGTGTTTGAGATGTTGGATTCTACAGGAATGGTTTGAGATTTACTTATACAATGGTTTTGTGATCGCAGTTTTGCACGCATGGGTGTGTGTTTGAGATTTGATTCTACAGGCATGGTTTGAGATTTACTTTTACAATGATTTTGTGATTTTAGTTTTTCATGCATAGGTGTGTGTTTGGTTTTATCTTTACAGAGTATAGGTTTGTGATCTTATGAATCTAGCTATACATATTCGCTATGCGTTTTATAAACTACATTTGATGCTGGAGGGGGGCTACTCCTCTTCTATTGAACCCCCAACGGACGTGCACAGACAGATCGGACTTGCTGGTTGCGGATTTCGGGAGAACTTTTAAGCGGACGGACCAGTTTTCCGTAAGGAAGCAAAATCGCTTCCTTACATCCCCCCCTCGCTTCGGGAGAGTAAAAAGACACGGACTGCACCGAATACTTTTCTATTACTTTCTACTACTTTCTGTTATTTTTCCCCAGCGGTGGGTGTCGGCCGATGATGCTGCTGCTGCCTTTGTTGGGTTGGCCATGGCTCGTGCTAATGTGCTGATCGGGGCGTTGACGTTATTGCTGCTGCTGTAATTGCTGCTGTCGAAGATTTACCTGCTTTCGGGGATGTGTCGTGTTGATTTTCCTTTTCTGTTGGTTTCTTGTCGTTTGTTTTTTTTTTGATTGTTTTCCTGCTGGTTCTTGTTCTGATGATTTTTTTTTTTGTTGCTTCCCTTTTTTTTTCTGTTGATTTTTTTCTCTGTTGTTTTGCTCATTTTTTTCTTATGTTGATTGTTTCTCTGATGTTCTCTTTTTTTGTTGATGTTTTCCTGCTGATGTTTTTCGGTTGTTGTTATTTCTTTGTGTTATTTTCCTTTCTCTATTCTCTTTTTTTTTGGTTTTCTTAGTGATTTGCTTTTGTTTTTTTTTTTTTTAATGTTCTTATATTCTCGTTGATTTTTTTCCTTGCATTTTTTCTTCAATGTTCTTTTCCTTTTGTATTTTTTTGTTTTGGTTATTATATTTTTTTCTCTACTGTGACTGTTTTTTTTTTTTTTTTTTTTGCTACCTTTGTGCTTTCGTTGGTTTTCTCAGTGTTTTTTCGTTATTCTTGTATTCTCGTGGATTTTCTTATTTTTTTTTTTTTTTACGGGATCTCCTTTCGAATTTTTTTTTTTTTCGCCGCTTGTTTTCCTAGACGGTTCACCGCCCTATACTGGTGCTGCCACGGTTTGGGATTGGGTCGCCCTCGTACAGCGGTGGCCATTTATCTGCTTGATTGTGCCAGATGTAAGCTGGTTTCGCTGCATCGCTCGTACCCTCCATATCGGCACTGGAACCGTAGAAGCTGTGAGGTGACGGTGAGGCTAACTCATTAAACTGCCCTTGCTGCGGGCAGTGATGCACACACGGCCCTCTGTTGTTTTTACTCGTATTAGCGCTCATGTTGTTGACTTTGCCTGCTTTGGACCTGCAACCTAGATCCTTTTTATTCTTGTTTGTTTTCCTGGATGCTGTGATCGCGATGGTAGTATCTCCTCGTGTCGCAACGCTGTGTAGTTCCTTGAACGCTCTCGCTGATCTCACGGTTGCGTTCACGACCCTTTCATGGGTTCCATACTTAGGCTCTGGAATAGCAGGCCTAGTTGTTGCAGCTTTGGCTGCTTTGTTCCTTATTGTTGAGGGCATTGTTCTTGCTGCTCGGACATCTATTGTTGCTTTCTTCGTATTAGTTGGCCCGGATTCTCTCTCTACTTCGCAAGATGATAATTTTTTTACTTCGATAATCTTCTGTTCAGTTACTGCAGGCTTTTTACGCATCTTTCTGTTGCGGTCGTTGCCTTCAGGGTTGCTTTGATTTTCTACTTCGCTCTCGTGAACGCTACGATTTGCTTGATCAATAGGTGGTGGCGGAGGGACAATTTCCTCATAATGCTCCGCCCCGGTTGATAGCGGCTCTACTTTCAAACCAGATGCGTCTAAACCAAACGCGTAATCTTGGTGTTGTGTTGCGAATAGTAATTCTCTTGGCAATGTGGGCATGCTGTTTTTGCTGCCTAACTTCACGGAATGGCCGGCTATGATGAACACAGCGCCTGTTTTCGCCAGGAAGTCCATACCCAGGGTAAGGTGGTCGACGTTTCTTCTCACCACCAATAGCTCCACGTTAAAGGACATATGGCCTATCTTCGCCTCTACCGTTATGCTACGTTTGCTATCTTGTGATGCGCCATCTACCATTCGAATGGTGTGGCTTCTCGTCTCAGAGTTTATTATGTGGGGGATAAACCCGATGAAATCTTCGCGAATGATGCTTCTGGTAGCCTCGGTGTCCACGACGCCTGTTGTCGCTAGGCCGCCAATGGTGAGGGAGGCTACCAGGGTGCTTCCGGTCATTTCCACAGTTTTTGGCACCGCTTCTGGCGGCTGTTTCCTTCGTTCTATCGATTCATACACTGTCATACCTCGTGCTTGTATATGTTGACCGGCGGTTTGTCGGCAGCAGTCCTTTGTCAGAACGCCCGGGCGGCCACAATCCCAACAGAATGAAACACGCTGATTAAGACAATCGCGCGCAAGGTGGCCTGGTTGGGCACATCGATGACAAACGTTTCTGCTGGCACTGCTGGTATTCATCGTGGTCGGGGCATTCTCTCCTGGTGCACGGGATATACCTGATGTCACCCTTGGCAGGGGTGCCAATGTTGGGGCGGGGATATCTTCGAATCGCTCTCCCAGAGCTATTATCTCATTTAGGTCTTTGCTGGAGGTGTCCCCGAAGAAAAGCTGATACTCCCGCTGACTGTTTCGGGCGATTCTGTCTAGCTTCTGTTGTGTCGTATAATCAAGGTGCCGCATTAAGTCCTGCAGGCGGAGCGCGTAATCTCTAAATTTCTCGCCAGCTAGTTGGAATGTCTGTCGCACCTGGTCATCTAACCGTTCTAGGTATCGGGTGGGCAAGAAAAATTTGAGGAATTCCTGCCTGAACTCCTGCCACCCTGACCATACTCTACGGTTGTTCCGGTACCAAATTGCTGCTTTACCATGCAGCAGTTCCATAATGATTCGTGGCATGATGTCTGTCGGCAGATCGTATACTTCGCACAGTTCCTCTATGCGTGCGATGAACTCGAGGGCGCAGCTCTCGCCATCGTAGCGCACCGACCATTTACAGATGCGGTCCATAGCCGCGCCACATGAAATGCGTTCTTGCGCCTGGCGCTTGGGACTTGCACCTCGAATGGTGCCTTCCGGCAATTGCAGCATTCTTGGTGTGTATTGCGCTTCCAGTTCTGTCAGCTTCGCCTTCTGCTCCGTTGATAAGTCGGGGGTTGCAATAAGGGCTGTCACTGCTTTCCGCATATCCTCGACAGTACCCTTGGTGTCTAGGTCGAGCGATCCACAGATGTCGTTCAACTCCTCCTTTCGCAAGCTGTAAACCAGGATGTTTTCACCATGCTGGCTCCTTCCTTAGCCTCTGTTTCGATAAGCTCACGGCTTGTATGCTTACTTCCTTGTTTCTGCTGATCCGAAGGTCCCTGCTCGGGCGCCACTTGTAACGAGTTTCCTTAGGCAGGGTATGACTCAGCCAATCCAGAAT